GCTCCCGGTTTTCCTGGTCTGCTGGAGACGGTCCCCAGCAGCCCAGAGGCACCGGGAGCAAAGCTGAAGCGGCAGCGGGGTGCCGCGCTTCTGAGGCTTTGCTCTGGCACAGCCTCAGAGGCGCAGGACCCCGTCGCGGCTGCGGCTTTGCTCCCGGTGTCCCTGGTCTGCTGGAGACGGTCCCTGGTCTGCTGGGCTGCCCCGCTGCTGGAGCCCCTCCACGGCTTTGCTCCGCGTCTTCCTGGTCTGCAGCTTGGGACCACGAGGTCCCGCAGTCCGTGTCCTCCGGGGCGAGAAAAGCCCCGTTCGTACCTGCAAGTCGGGGACTGCCTGTATACCCGGCGTATAAGACGACCCCCGATTTTTGGGGGATGTTTTTTAGCATAAAAAGTCGTCTTATACGCCGGAAAATACGGTAATGTCACACACACACACTTTTGTTTTTAATGGAGTCAAACTATCTTATTCTGAAATGTTTTTAACAGGACATTTTCACACTAAGGGATATTTGCTGTACCTCTGATGGCTTTTTACACCAAAACAATTCTGGACTTTGGGCAAATCAGTTATAAACAAGGATGATGTTGTTGCTATTTTTGATGCTAAAATCTAAATAAATAGTATTATTAGCAATAATAATCCTCAGCTCTTCACTAGTGCTTTTCACCAGCAAATCTCAAAGCACTTTCCAGAAGAGATCAGCAGTATCATTAACATGAAAAACTCTCTTCCTTCATTTTCTGTTCCATATTTTGATTGTTTTTTCTTCCTCTTTTCTTACAGTGACGGTCAGAGCACACTTGACTGGCTGGCTCATGACACTAAAGAAGACATTTGTATTGGCGCCCAGCTCAGTGCTGCGCATCATCGTCCTCATCACTAGTCTCATTGTGCTGCCTTACTTAGGGTAAATTACTCCACTGAGCACAGCTCTAATGGAGCCACTCCCCCCACCCATCCCTATTTCATTGAATAGCTGCCATTATTTAACTCTACATGTTTCTATCAAAGAGACTAAAACAAAACCACGATAGTTTCAAACTCCTGTAAATGATCACTTTCAAAGTGCTAGCCACATGCTATCTCTAGCTAGACAGGTAACTATTGGCTCTTTTTGAAAGTTCTACAGATGCTAATAGAGGCTGTATAGAGAGACCAATATCCACAGGCTGCTATGAAAGCTTACTAGAATTATATAGAAATTATTTTTTTGAAAAATCTTGGCAATAGTTACATAGGAAATGGCATGTTTTCTATAGATTTTTTTTTTTTTAGCTACTTTTTACAACAGAGCTGTCATTCTAAATTAAATTCTATATTTAGCCTTGGGACAGAATTTGGTTTTCTTTATTGTTTTGGGCAATAAAAGATTATATTGGACAATTAGACTATTTAGGAATCAAATACTACTGTAAAATATCAATTATTCTGAGTACCACCACTTAGATTTTTACTCCAGAGAATATTAAATACCTGCCACGTTATACGTTATATAGAAATCATTCATTAAAATATATTGGTTCGGTATTTTACTGAACTTGTAATTTTCTATTTTTATTTTTTTTAAAACCCTACCTTTTCTTTTTGCCATTCTCAGGGTCCATGGAGCCACCCTAGGAGTAGGATCACTTTTAGCTGGTTTTGTAGGAGAATCTACCATGGTTGCAATAGCAGCTTGCTACGTCTGTCGGAAACAGGTAGGAAATTGATTGTATAGCAGTGTTTCTTAAACTTTTTAAGACCAAGGAGCACCAAACAATATTTTTTTTATGAGGAACACTAAAGATTGATTGATCGATTAATTGCTCAATAAAAAAAGGTCTGCGGGAAAGTTGAGCAAAAAAAAAAGTTGCCTGCCCCTTTAAGGGTGTCCATTTTGAACTCTGTTGTTCTCCAAGGCACACCTCCAACTCGCCACACACCAGTATACCGCAGAACACAGTTTAAGAAACGCTATTGTATAGAATCCAGTGACCATGATAAACATGGATAATTACTATGCAAAATGACAAGTTATATAGAAAACACAATTTTTGTGTAAAGACCACGTAGAAGGTAGGCACAAAAGTGCTAGCTTTATTTTTACCCTGAATAAAATATACACTTAACTGGATGGAAATGGGTTTTCACTTTCATGGACACAAACACACATATGTACAACGTATAGACTTGAACTTGCAAGTTTTAAGCAAGTGAGAATCTTTCTGATACAGTGTGCCCATGCATCTTCCAGTTGCCTCTGTCCAATATATCCTTACACTTAACTTTACTCACATGACTAGAAGTCTCATAGGAGTAGTCATATTAGTCTGTAACTGAAAAAAATTTAACAAACAACAAATAGTTCTGCAATACCTTAGAGACTAACACAAAATGTAAATGGTATCATGAGCTTTCATGGGCACAACCCACTTCTTCCAGGGACTGGACCCTTTACTCCATTCATCGGAAGAAGTGGGTTGTGCTTATGAAAGCACATGATACCATCTATATTTTGTGTTAATCTGTAACGTGCTGCAGGACCACTCTTTATTTCAGTTTTTTCATGACTAGATCCTCTGATTTCAGTGAGGACTCATATGAAAAAGTTATGCATTGGTAGGAATATTTGCAGGATCAGGGCCAATGGGAATCCCCACATAAGGATGGTTTTCCACATGCATAAGATTGCCTGCAGCATTAAGCCCTTACAGATACGTTTTTCAGAATGCTGCACGAGATATTTAGCACGTAACTCCAGTTAAAAGTAGCACAGCATTAATCATATAGTTAGCTAGACAGAACTGGGGGAGTAGAGAGAAGGGAGTGTAAAGAAAAGAATCCTTGCTGCTTTAAAAAAAAAAATCGAAATTTCCATTTAGGCAAAAAAATCAAAAAGCTCTGCTCACTTTTACCACTTTTGCTTTTGTCAAAAAATTATGAAATCAGAACCTACCTAAAAGCTTATGAACTATACACTCCTTATGAACTACACATCCTTAAGAACAGGCTGGATGCCCAGCAGCAGAACAGAGAAATTCACATTACCTCACCCCATGTTGCAGTAAACATGTGGATAAATAGAAAACCTTTGTTTCTCTGTGCTTAATCTTGTTCACTAGCGATATTGAGAAGTCATATATCCCAAGCTATTCTTGGCTTGTAGTTCACAACAAATTTCTGTTTATGCTAATAATTTTATTATTTGCATTGTCACATCTCCTACAGTATTTTTGACCGCCACAATTTTCAGACTAAGTACTTTATTTTTGTAGTGTAATGAAGTGGTAACAACAGCACCTGGATGACCACATTTGCCTGACAGGTATAAATATTACAAGTCCAGTGAATCTGAAATGATCTCTTCACCAGCCAATGTGGTAATTGCACAGCCAACAGTAGCTTTGCATATCAGTTTATTTTCAGCTAAAAGATTAAATATAGGTAAAATGTTTGGGAGCCATTAGCCAGTTTTCTATATACAACACCAAAGCAATCTTACGCAGCTGAATCAGTCATTTCAGTGGGTTTGACGGGAGAGTTGTACAGATCTTTTCCATAAAGATTGGGCAGCCTGCTGAGAAACAAATAAGGAACAGATGCTTTAGCTTCTTTCATATTGGAGCTGAGGCATTTTAGATTTACTCATGCAAAACATGCTGCACGAATCATAGGACTGTCTTGAAAAAAAACAACATTAAGCCACCTGTGCTCAACAGCAAAGTACTGGGAATACAAGTGGCCTGCCTCATACTGACAGTAGCTCCTCCTGTCAGTAGAGAGCTTGGGTCAGTTGGTAAACACTCCATAAATTTGGCTGTTGCTTTTGTCACTTTCTCATAGGGACAATACTAAGTATTCTGAACTAGGACACAGGAATTCTAAGTTCTGTTCCCAGCTGAGCCATTGATGCTGTGAGCTTGGACAGATGACTTAACTTCCTGGTGACCTAGATTTCCTCTGGGTAAAGGTATGTGACACACAGCCTTGTTCAAATGCATCCCCTGCCCTCCCCCAGCTTTTGCCTTTTGAGAGGAATGTTGCAGTGCTAGTAGATGTCATTATTTTTACTTCTTGTGCTCTTGTCTTGTGACACTTTGGAATTTAGAATACCACCTTTAACTTTATG